AAATAAATATTTTATTGAAAAAATAAGAAAAGTAAAAAGATAGATATATTTTCGCAAATTTAATTACTCCATCCGTTTCAGAAAATTTGTCCACTTTATTATAGCCACGAGAATTTATGAAAAATATAAATAATAAATAATTAAGAAATATATTAATAAAAATAATTATAAATCAAGAAGACTAAATAATTTAAATAAAATTTTAAAAAATTATATCTTATGATGTTCAAAATATAATTAAAGTGTATAATAATATTTCTAAAAAAAAAAGAGACAAATTAGATAGGACGAATGAAAATAAAAAAATATGAATATTTTATGTGGGACGAAGATAGCAGTAATTAAAGATGATGAAGAAAAAATATAATAAAGACCGTAACAATCATAATAAATAAATATCGAATGAAAAATAATAATTTAAATTTTTTAGAATTTTTTTTTTTTCAAAATTTTCAGTTAAAGGACAGAAAAAAATAGTAAGTGTAAAATAAATTTGATGCAACGTGGAAGTACATCATACATCATGTAAAAAAATTTCAAAATATTTTTACTTTTATCATTTCATATAAACAAATATTTTTATATAAATTTAATTTTTTTTATTTTTTATAAAATTAATTTATATTAATGATAGATATATATTTTTTATTTATTTGTATTATATAAAATTCTATTTTATAAAATATTATTCATTGTATTAAAATATAATTTTTAAAATTAAATATATATTATAAATTTTCAATTATATATATAAAGAATTATTCTAAAATTATCATCAATATTATTTAAATAAAAAATAATGAAATAATATTATAAACGACTAAATTTTACTTCTTCATCACACAATACTGACTATTTCGCCACAGAGGGAATTAATATATAACTCCCAGATATGTCAATATCATTGGATAATACGTGGTGAGCTGGTTTATTCCAAATTATTATTATTATTATTATTATTATTATTATTATTATTATTATTATTGTCATTTTGTTTACCAAACATGATTTGACACATGTGTTGATATGATTTGTTAATTATTTAATTATTATTATTATTAATATTATCATCTCGATGACCAACATGTCGTGGATGACAAGAAATTATTATATTAGTGTTCTTTTGTAGACTTGGTTCTGTGTGTTTGTCGGGGCTTTCGATTTTGAATTGAGATTTAAATAGTAAAATTTTTGAATTATAATAGTTGTATGATGTGATATAAATAGACGTTGATGTGATGTTTTGAATGTAAAATTGTTTTTTTAGTATAATATAAAAAATGAAAAATAAGTGTTTGATTTGATATTTTTGAAAAGAAAAAATTGGATGGATAGTAAAAATCTGACTAAATCCCCCAAAATAACACACCCTTGAGTTTTTCTTGGTTTTATTTTTTATTTTTTTATTTGCCATACCATTTTATAAATTTGTATTAATTTTCTATATAAAAATATTTCTCCATTTAAAATAATTATTTCAGTTAAAAAATAAAATATAAAAGTATAAATCTCGTGTCGTGTACATAATAACGTACCATGTTTGTAATAAATTAATACACCATAATAAAATAAACCCAATAGTAGCCATCATTCTTGACTTCTAACAGCAATTTAAATATATTTATTTAAATTTTTCGTACTGCAATTTTTCAGAAATTTCTTGTAAATACTTTCTAATGTTGTTTTTCCCATTTTTAGGAATAAATAAAGAAGAAGAATTTATCCGAAACAAAGGTCTTAATTATGACTTTGAGTCAATTAAGAAACATGTCTGATCTAAATAAGTATATTTAAGTTTGCATCTAGAAGAATATTTAATTTTTTTTTTTTAATAAAAATGACTAATGAGAATTACTTTTTGCAGTACAAAAAATAATACTCCATCGCTCCTCTAACGATCTATCCATTTTTTCATTTTGATCCGTCTCATTACAAAGTATTTATTTCCTTTTTTTAGTAATTGTACTATCTACCTAACATTACAAATATCCTTTCAATTTACAATATATTGCACAAATATCATTACATTTATATCATACAATACTAATATGGTTAATTTAGTCTTTTTACCTTATTTCTATTTTATCTCAATATAATACTCCCTAGATAAGATGGACGTATTACCGTAGATACGAGAATTTATATAAAGTATAATTAGTAAATAATTAAAAAGTGTATTAGCAAAAATAATTATTATTTAGTAAAAATAATTATAGATTAAGATAACTAAATAGTTTAATTAAGATTAAAAAAATTTTAAAATATGATTAAAGTGTATAATCAATTTTCCAAAAAATAAAATGACAAATTACATGGGACAGACGAAAATAGAAAATAGGGACAAACTACGTAGAACGGATGAAGTACTAATATTTCTAAAACTCTGTATAAAAAGCAAATAGATATATAAATATGGGACGAAGGGAGTATATTTCTTTACGTTAAAAAAAAATAATAAAAAACAAAACATTTTTATAATAATTTTTAAAAATAACATAAATTTAAATAACTTATGATGTATAAATATTTTTATATTTTTTTTAAAAAAAGTTAGTAAGTTTGTTCACTTAATGAAAGTTTTTAAGATACGATTATAGAAATACAGTAGGTGCAGATTCTATGCTAATCCGATAAATTAGTGTGGTGAATTGATGGATAAGCACTTGGCGTAAAGATAAATAACATATATTTTTATTTAGTATATCATCTGCTATTTGATAATATGTTGTGTTATAATATATATCATATATTATATTATAAATATGTTACGATATATATAATATATATTGTTTATATATATTATACTTTCTCTATTTCAAAAGTATAGTCTTATTGTATTGGGTACGAAATTTAAGGAATATTGATACTCTCTCTATCCCAGATACCATGTCCACGTTGCCGTTTCTGTCCGTCCCACATAACATGTCACTTTCTTTTTTTAGAAAATAATTACACACTTTAATCTCATTTTAAATTTTTTAATTTTATTTTTTTAATTTTATTTAAACTAATTAGTTATCTTAATCTTAATTTATAATTATTTATATTATAGGATAATTATTTTCACTAATACATTCTTAATTATCTACTAATTACACCCCTCCTAAAATACCGTGTCTACAGCGTAGCAGACACGGTATCTGGGACGGAGGGAGTATTATATTAGTAGTTGGTAAAAAGTAAGGATAAATAACTTTTTTGCCCTTGTGAGTATATTAGTGTAAAAAGTAGTGTCAATTGTGTAATAATAATGTTTGGAACAAAAAAATAGTAAAAAATGCTATTGTATTAGGACGGAGGGAGTATATATTGATGCGTTTAAATAGCATCATGTGATTGAATAGCATGGGTAATATAGATATGAGGATTTAGGCAAGAGTGTAATTAATAAAATATTAAAAATAATTATTATATAATACAAATATTTATAAATTAAAACTAATCTAACTAATTAATTAATTTAATAAAAATTAAGAAAATAGAAATGCTTAAATTTAAAATACAATTAAAATATATAATTATTTTTTTAAAAAAAATAAATAAAATATGCGGAGAGAATAGGGTAATAATATATATTCATTTAAAAAAATCAAAAATTAAATAAAAATATTATTTTAACATTATTAATATATTTTATTTTCTTAAAAATCAAATTTAAAACACAAACCAAGCACGCCAATTATTTTTAAAGAAAATATATATATATATATATTAATTTGCATTTAGTTATATTTATTTTTAATAGTGACATTTCTATATCAGAAAATAATATACTATACTATAATTATTATACTCCATGTTGGTAGATCGTGCATAATAGCGACGGTATATAGTCTTCCAATTAGGTGTATTTATTAGGACTTTGAGTCAAATCGATACGTACTAACATGATTTGAATATAAATATATATATATATATTCATTCACGTTTTTTTTTTTTTTTAAAGATAAGTTTGAATTGTATTTAAATTTTAAAATAAGTTTAAATTTTTATATGTTGTTTAGCTTTGTAAATTTAATTTAAGTTCGATGATTTGATGTATATTAATTTAATAAATAAAGATTGTGTTAATTTAAATGAATAATGTAGCATTTTATTTGTTAAAGAATAAAAATTGGATTATACAGTATTTTATAATTCCTTCATCCTACATTAGTCTTAAAATAATATTTTTATTTCTATAAAGTTATTTCTATTTTTTCATTATTATTATATAATTGTCAGTAGTTTTTACACTAATACATTCAAAAGGACAAAAAAAACATTTTACTCGTATTTTTTATTAATTTTTTTAATAAATAAATTATATGAATTTTGTAGTGATATTTTTCGGAAACTACTATAATATTACTAGTGGAATGAGAAAACAATTTGAGTCATAATAATAATAATATATTAATGTCTTCTCGATCGTGTACGGTTGTCCTCCCTCTTGCCATCGTCTGCCGCGTCTAAAAATATATATATATATATTTTTATAACAAAATTTTTTTTTTCTTTCTAAATTTATTTTTTTTTCCTACTAATGACGTTAGAAACTGATTTACAAATGAAATTATCGTTAGTTATGTAAATTTTAGAGAAAAAATTATGTTACAAATATATATATATATATTTTTTTTATAGTGTTTCGTCGAACGCGCAAACATTAAAAAAACAGATGATGGGTTCGAAAATGTGAAGGATGGGTGCATGGATTTTTAATGAAGATAATAATCTTTTATTTTTTTTCGTAAAATAAAATAAATAAATAAATAAATTCAATAGTGTATTTTTTGCAGGCCTACCTGGTAGAATGGAAGAATGGTCAACGTAGGAGAAGATTCGTTTTCAAATTGGTTTGTACAGTAATCGCCAAAACTCTTCAAAAGAATTACACCCGATTTAAAATTTATATATATATATATATATAAAATAAAATAAAAAAATACAACCTTTCACTAGAAGACAAAGTAGCATCCACTATAAATAGAGCCAAAATGGCAGAGATCATCACATCACAAACTAAATCAAAGCAGATAAGATTTCAAAGAGTTCGATTCGATCCAAAAATGGCGATTAATATTCACAGCCTCATTCCATTCAACGACTTCACTGCTCTTCTTCTCCTCCTCGGATCCTTCATTTTCTTACTGCTAAAAATTCGAAGAGGATCAGGATCAGGATCAGCAAAAAATGTGAAATTACCTCCGTGCCCCCCGAGGCTGCCGGTGATCGGAAACCTCCACCACCTCTCCGGCGGTCTGGCGCACCAAATGATGGCGAAAATGGCGAAGACGTACGGACCCGTCATGCGCCTCCAGCTCGGCGAAATATCGGCGGTGGTGATCTCATCCCGGGAGGCGGCGAAGGAGGTCCTGAAGGTCCAGGACCCCGCCTGCGCAGACAGGCCCGAGAGCATCGGGACCAACATCGTGTGGAAGGCGGGAATGGCGTTCAGTCCGTACAACGATTACTGGCGCCAAATGCGGAAGATTTGCATCGTCGAGATGCTCAGCGCGAAGAACGTCAAATCCTTCGAGTCGATGAGGCAGGACGAGGTTTCGCGTCTCTTACAGTCGATCCGGGCGGCGGCGCTCGCCGGAGAAGCCGTGGACGTGACGGAGAAGTCGATCGCCTACACCGCCACCACGACGGGGCGGGCGGCGTTCGGCAGCGTGACGGAGGACCGCCGCGTCGTGCTTATCGATATGATGAAGAAGGCCAGCGCCATCTCCGGCGGCCTGGAATTGGCCGACCTGTTTCCGTCGTCGAAGCTGCTCAGTCTCCTCTGCTTCAACAAATACAGACTCATGAGAATGCGCCGCAAGGTCGACGCAATTCTCGGCGTCATCGTCGACGAGCACAGGTCCAACCCTAAAGGCGAGTTCGGCGGCGAGGACATGGTCGACGTTTTGCTTAGGGTTCAGAGCTCCGGCGAGTTCCAGTTCCCGATCTCCAACGACAACGTCAATGGCGTCCTTTACGTAATTAACAAATCAAATCAACATTCAATTAACAATAAAACAATTACTATTATATTAATTGATTAATCAATATGTGCAGAATCTGTTCACCGCCGGAGCTGCGGGGTCGGCGGCGATGGACTGGGCAATAGTGGAGCTGGTGAGGTGTCCACGCGCCATGGCAAGAGTACAGAAGGAAGTAAGAGAAGCCCTAAAGGGGAAGGAGACAGTGGAAGAAGGCGACCTTCAGAAACTGACATATCTAAAATGGGTGATCAAAGAAACCCTAAGAATGCATCCTCCAGCTTCATTGATCCCAAGATCTTGCAGATCAGACAATTGTACAGTCGATGGATACACAATTCCCAAGAATTCGAAAGTGATCATCAACGCATGGTCTTTAGGAAGGGATCCAAAGTATTGGGACCAGCCCGACACCTTCATGCCCGAAAGGTTCGAAAACAGCAGCCTAGATTACCTCGGTAATAACTTCGAGTATCTTCCATTTGGAGCTGGAAGAAGAAAGTGCCCTGGACTGAACTTTGGAATGGCCAATTTGGTGGTTCCATTGTCTCAAATGATGTATCATTTCGACTGGCACATGCCCGAAGGAATGAGCCCGGATGACATAGACGTCACCGAGGTGGACGGGCTATCGATCTCGAGGAAGAATTCTCTTTTCTTGGTTCCAACAATCTACAACGATGGAATTTAAGAAGTACCATCTTTCATCGGATTAGTCTCGTTTCTTTTTAATGCATGCATGCAGTTTTGATGAGTTATGGGTTATGTAGTTGATTACTTTAATTTAATTTGTGTAATATTTTTGTAATAAAGTGTTGTTTTGGTTATTTTTTTATTGAATAATGAATAAAATGAAAGTTGGAATAATTAATATTTGTTCTTTTTTTTTATGTTGAATGTTGTATGTATTGAAATTAATTTTATTTAAAAAAAAAAATTGAATGGATTATAATTAATATGAGCAATTAGATAACAAAAATAGTTAAACTAGTTTTAATCATTCAAACGCATTTAACAATAAAAACAGTAATAACTATAAAAAAATTTAATCTAAACAATAGTTTATATAAAAGTCATCAAAGAAGTTATCTGTAAAACTATTTGAACTTTCCTCCCTACTTCAAACAAAATAAAGAAGATGAAAAACAATAAATAAATAAATAAATAAAAGATATTGAATATGATGTGGTTATTGATAGTGATAATTACTTTATTTTTTGTTATAGGGGGAAGAAATGAAATTCAAATTTAAATTTTACTATTGATTAATTTTTTTTACTGAAAATATCAAATCAAATAGTTATGTTTTATTTTTTATATTATTTAAAATTAATTTAATATTTAAAAATTACATCAACAATTATTTATATTATATTAAATAATTATTTCACTTTAAAAAATTTATTATCTATAACTCAAGCTTGCATTTATTCAATTCTTTTAGGGAAAGAAATAAAATTCAAATATCAATCCGATTATTCACAAATTTTTCTCCCTAAACGATCTATTTTTATTTTTATACTACACCAAAAAATAATTTAATATTAAAAATTTCACTTCAAAACTTATTTACAATAGATCGAATAACTATTTAAATTTAAATTTTTGTAACTTCAATTTCTAGTCTAACTAACAAACAAACTCTATATCTAATGTTCCAATCCAAATTTAATCACAAAACCCTAAACCCCACAACAAAATCTTCATATTATTGTATCGATTGTTACCTTGTCAGATGTTTGACTTTGTAGCAATTTTTTTATGTCAATATAATGTCGACACAAACTTGTCCTTACGATAATTTCAAGAGGTATTTATGTTTTTGTCATTCAACCGACCTACAGATTACATCAATCAATTTTATTTTTTTTTATTTTTTTTTTCAAATAAACTAACGATAAATTGTGATGCTCTAGTCAGCTCATCCCAAAAGTCAACACCATGTCGCATAGTGAGATCATATCAATATCATCGGGTCCCGGTAATACGATGTTAAAGCTAAAATACTACTTCCTCCGTCTAATTTCTATTGTCCTAAAATATATTTGCACGATTTTTTAGGTGATTGTCTTTTTACTATGAATGGACAAATTTGCCAAGTGTACAGTAGAGATTAAAAGTAATAAATGAATTAAGAGTAAAAATTTAAATTTTATGTTTAAAAAATAAAATAGTACAATAGTTGTTGGACGTCCCAAATAAGAAAGTAGGACATTAGTTTGTGGACAAATGAAGTATTTTTTTTTATTATTATGTTTGTTCAAAAATTCAAGCAACTCAAATATAGATCAACAGTCAGAGATGAAATTAATGTAATAATGATGATATTAATAGCTCATACAAGTATATTATACTCATATTGACCCTAATGTACAAAATAATAGCGACGACGAGTTCAACATAATAACGAGTCACATCACTAAAAAATAATACTTCATCCGTCCGAATCTAAGGGTCTTATTTATTTTTTACGTCGTTGTACTAACATTTAAAATATCCTTATGTTTGTATAATTTTATTTTTTTTTTTGTACAAATGTCATTCTATTAGTATTATAAAACACTGATGAAAGTATTTTTGTACTTTTTTCTTAATTTGTACTACGTTTTGATGTAAGCATTAATATTCAAATATTAACACGCAAAAAGTAAATAGAATCCTTAGAATCGGACGGACGGAGATAGTATCATAAATGGAAGGCGTGCATGTCCATTATCCATGCACAATCAGATAATCAATTTGTCTAATTAATCGAATTTATTGAATGGGTAAACGACATACATCATCATTTACTACAAACTATCCTAACATCTTGGTAACGAAGAAAGGCCTTTTATTATAAATTTAACATATAGTAATTGAATTCATGTACCCAAAAATCACCAAATGAAACTTAAAAACTCTACTTCTCCTAGCAATCCTAAACTACCGATAGATCTCACTAGCTAGTGATCAGACTAATAAGTGGACCAAAAATATCGTTAAGGCTATAGATAACCAAATCTAATTCCAAAGGATCCTGTACCTAGGGTTGGCAAAAATTAACCCGACCCGAACCTGACCTGAAATAGTTGGATTTGGGTTGAGATTTTCGACCCAATTAATAATTGGGTCAAACTCGTTTAATCTATTTAATTAAATAGGTCAGGGTAAGGTCTACATTTTCGACCTGGAAATAACCCGTCTAACCTGGTTAATTAATATTATTTTAAATTTAAATATATTTTTTTTAAATTTTATCAATACAATTCAATATTTATGGCCAATTTTATAAAAATAAACAATAAAAAATAAAGAATTGTGTTGTGTACTATTATGTAGCGTTTGTTAATTCAATTCTTGGATATCGGTTTCATGATATGAATAAATAATTTTTTGCTTTAATATATATATATTATGAATTTAAAAATTTTGTTAGTATAAATTGTAATTTTAAATTAAAATTTAAAAATTTTAGATTTAAACGGGTTATATGAGTCAGATTCAGGTTGACCCGGATAATAAAAGGTCAGGTTAAGGTTGCAAATATCAACCCATTTAATTAAATGGGTCAGGTTCAGGTCAAGGGTTTTGTAACCCGTTTAAGCTGACCCGAACCTGAACCCGACCCGACCTGATCCGTTTGCTAGCCCTACCTGCGACACAAGCCAATCGATTATCCAACTAACTATTGTTATATTCGTACGAAAAATATGTGACGTTGTTCTCGTCTAACAATACTACACACGAAAAATATCAATAGAATTTATAAAATCAACGTATAACAATCGTAATATATATAGAATATGATAATAACTATTGTTAACTCCATATAATAATTTTTTTAGAAAACTTACATCAAGCACATATTTATTTTAGTCGATAAACAGTAAAAATCGCATAATAATTAATTAATTAGCATATCCTTAAGAATAAATTAAAATCCACAGAAATAAACCAATATAAAAATTAAATGTATAAAGTATATTAATCTTATCATGATTTATAGAATTTAGGTTATATGTGATCATTAAAAAGAAAAAAAAAAACTTTTTAAATATTAAGGTAAGTAGACAAAGTAATCAATTAACCATATTTTACGTGTTTCTTACAACACATAAATATATTGTTGTCAATAGAAATAAAAAATATTAATCATAATTATAGAAAATATTGTCACAAGAAATATGTATATACAAATATGAACATTTTATATAAAATATAAAGATTGTATTCTTTCGTGAGTTTTACATAAACTTTTACTATTTAAATTTTTTTTTTCCTCAAAAAATATGATCAAATAAAATAATTATTTTTCTCTTTTTATATTATACTAAAAATTTATTACATTCAAAATATCATATCAACCTCTATTTATATCACATCAAATAACTATTCAAATTGAATATTTTACTATTTAAAAATTCAAACTCAAACACTATTATTATTATTATTATTATTATTACTACGGAGGATTAATAAAGTTGTCCTGTTCAACCTCGATTTTAAATTATACTCCCTCCCCTCCGTCCACAAATTAATGTCCTACTTTCCTATTTGGACGTCCAATAATTATTGTCCTATTTTTTTTTAAACACAAATTTAACATTTTTACCCTTTATTCATTTTTTACTTTTAATTTCTACCATACAATTATGGAAAAATTTGTCAATTCATAACAAAAAGACAATCACCTAAAAAATGGTACAAATATATTTTAGAACCATAGAAATTAAAAGGAGGAATATTACACCAGACACGACATAGATTCAGGACCCATTGACAGCCCAAATATCACATATATACTTCCAAATAAAATAAGAAACAATCCTAGTTAGGCCCAAAATAAAAAATTCAATAATATTATGCTTATATAATATCCTTCGTCCCATGAAATTAGTCCACTTTCTTATCATAATAATAATTAATAACTAATATTTTTAATTAAAAAAACTTAATTATATTTTATTAACTTACTATTATCTTTAGTTTTATTATTTGTCAATTGTAAGTTTAGAAGTTGGGCTAAAATTTTGAATAATAAAATAAAATAAATATTTAATATTATGTAAATAAATATTCATTTAATTTTAAAATTAAATTTTAATGTAATATATAATAAAAATTTGATGTTTGATTTGAAAATTTATGGCTAAAAAATTAATTAAAAATGAAATTTGATATTGATTTTTTTTCTTTGTTCAAAAAAAAAACTTATTTATAAAGAAAAATTATAAACTTATTTTTAATTTCGGTATAAAATATTATATTCTAATACCGTGTATACAATTCAGTTGGAGATGGTTTGAGGTAGAATATTGAAAATATCAAAATATATTGTATATTGTACCAAAATTTTTAATTTATTAAAAAATATATATCGATATTGTATCAAATAATCAGTATATACAAAAACCCAATTTTTTAAATTATCTATATACACTGAAAATATCTTATTGTATACGTTATCATACAAAAAAAGTCATATTGTATCAAAATTTTGAAATTTTTTTTGTATTTTTTTTACGAGTATGCATGTTATTTTCATAATTCAGTATTTTTTATTCGAAAATTCGGTATACCAAAATATTTGTACGGTACGGTAAAATATCATACCAAAAATTTTGTACTGTACGTATGCGATGTGGTATTAAATTTAGTATGTCATAACGAACTATCTCTAACAACAACCAAATTCAAAAAATTTTATGTATTGTTTATATAATTTTTTATTACATTTTTATTGTATAAATTACATTTAAGTTATTAAAATTATATTTTTTTATCTTAATGCATGTATTGATTTACAATAAATATAATAATAATTATTATTTTTAAATAATATCAG